ACGGTGATGGGTATGTCCATAGCAATTTCCGAGAAAATAACAGTGAAGAAGATTGACCTACAGCTGATCAGGCAGTCAGGCAGGTAGGGCCAACAATCTGTTTTGTTTTGTGGTAGCTTACATAAGTGCAGTATTATCAACAAGATACAAGAGGGATTGCATTGTTTACTGGATATGTTTGTTCTTTGGAGACTCTTTCCCACTTAAAAGTTCCTAGTTCCACTCCTCTCGACACGTTCATGAGAAGATGTATACGTGTGTAGTGAATAACAGTTTTAAAGATGGAGAGACAGCCGGACAGACCGACAGACTGACTGGCAACACATTATCAGGCAGATGAACAAGACAGACAGGCCACAGTCCCTCCAGAGATGCAGATGAGCAAATTACTGGCAGCAGTATTGCATATCAGACATCAAAGTGTTGCAGCGGCGCCCTTGGCAGCTGTGCTCTGAGGCAGATAATTATGCCTATTTAAAATCATCATCTTTTAGAGCCATATTGATTGTTTTTTCCCCTGCTACAACTCCCAAAGTCCCAAATTCACCCTATCGCTTTCTTCCTGTCCTCCACCCCTCCTTTACCTTCGTCTTGGGAGCCCATTTTAGATTTCGATGCTAACATGTGCCGTGCAGGTCAAACTGCTAATAATTGGATTGGAAATGAGATGTAAATTACAATAATGAATGTAATGTCCACGTAATTATACGGACGCCTGAGCTGCCTCTGCCTCTCCTCACAACTCAATTATAATCTTTCAAGTCAGAGAAATGTTCTGAAACTTTAAATTAACAATGGCTCTTAATGATGTTTGCAGCTTTAAAATGGAATGTACTGCTCTTTGTTGCTCAAATAGTTTTATAGGGGTCCTACAATTTGACCCAGCCTTGACTTTGTATTACTGGCATTCAGATTGTGTTTCTTAAAGTCTCTCAAGTATGGACACAGGCCTGTGGGTGACGTTTTAATACCTATTTACGGCTGAAATGATTTGATGTCCATAATAGTGTCCACTAGTAAGTCTCCCACATTGAGACTAACAGAGAAACAAATGAAACTGATCTCTGGCGTTTATGTGGAATGTACTAGAGGAATGTACATGGTAACCCTAACCTACAATGGGGATAAGTACTGTTCATGTTCTGTTCACTGTACATGTTCAGACAGACTGACAGGGTGATGAACTTGGTTGTGTTCATGCAAAGTGCAGAAATACCTTAAAACATATGTCAATCGTGGTGTGAAGTAGGTGTGACTTTTGGATTTAGTAAGTATAGCTAAAAGTAGAGCTTTTGATGACATCATGTGTAAAACCCAACATATATTCCCAAAGAACAGTTCACAGAAACACCGTTTTTGGCATTGGTGTGTCTTCCTTGAACTTGACTTTCATAGACTACTTTTATTTGATTAGTCTTTCCCTGTTGGGGGTTATTTTTAGGTTTTTATCCGCTCAACGGCAATTGCTCGGTGTACACAATCAGAACATGGGAGAAGCTCAAGTGCTATTGACAGAGGTTAAAAACACACTGACATTGATGTGAAGTGGCTTTACAGAGTGATTGCAATGATACTTACATGATTGACCCCCCGCTGATGAACCAATCAAACTTGACTATCTACATACAACTTGTTATTTAAAGAGTTTCTCTATGACTACTTTCACATTTAAATACCCAGGGATGCTCACCTTTACCTAAAACAAAACAAAGAAAAATCGTGATGAGTAGTCCATTCCAGTCCCTGATTCGCTGCTGGTCCTTGAAGCCTTCGGTGACAGGGTTGCTGGCGGGCCATTAGAGAGATTGCCTGTGGGGGGGAGAGTGTGGACACCTTCGAAGAGGAGGGCCTTCATCTAATCAATTTGGCTTAGTGGTCTGCCACTGAGGAGCCTCCTTGCTGCCAGCCAAGGCCATATAAAAGTCACTACAGGAGAGGAGAGGCACAGTGACGCAATCACAGGACACGACATAACTGTACATTGTACCTGCATGTTAGTTTGCAAGACTGCCTCACCAAACATTTGAAATACACAAAGCTGCTCAATGAAGACATTCGTTCTTGTAAGCACAATAATTAATGTCTGTGATATTGTACGTGAGTATTCCTTTGGCTTTTTAAAAAAAGCTCTTAATCTTGGATTTAAGGCATGAAAAGTGGACTGCCCTTTCCCTCCCGGGTTTTCCCATGGGTTTGGGTGACTTCCAAAGGCAGTGATTGTCAATTATAGATAAACTACCAAGTTTAGGTTTGAAAGCACATGCAGCTAAGTCTGATAGGAGGCACTGATACGTATCATTCTCATCTGCCCTCTCTCTATAACTCTCTCTGGTACTCTTCAATGTCTCACTTCAGCAGTGAGCAGGTGATGCAGTGTGATCTAAGGGCTTCGATATCTGAAGACTTGCACAGTTGATAACGTTGGCAGATTGGTTCTGTCTGATGGTGAACCCATCTGACATCAGCTCAATCCGTCTCTTTTCTGTCTTACCCCTAAAGT